ATAGCTTAGGGCATGCATACTTAAAGTATTTATTCGCCAATAAACACACACACTCTCATATAGATTTATTATTGATATATAATATATATGTATATGTGCTTGTGTGCCAGGGCCCTTTCGCCTAGAACGTTGGCATCTGTGAAGCTCTGAAGGCAACAGCTGCGCATGTTTACTTAAAGGGCACCTTTTGCCGCAGGAAGTTGATTCTTTGCTCTTAAGCATAAAAAAGATTATATTGTGTGTTGGAGATTAATGCCTTTACTCTATGTGTATGTGTATGCTCGCATAATTGAAGCTTGATAATGAACAACTAGAAATCGAAATCTTATCGAATTTCCTGCTGCAGCTAAGCAAACAACTTGGCAAATATATAATAAACAAATTGTGGACGGCCTAAAAATAAAATGTTGATTTCTATTTGCATATGATGTGACAACTAACACTTGAAATGAAATGAAATATATTTATTTATTTGCTTGCTCTCAAAAGATAAGGCTTGATTGATGTGAAAAACATGTTGAAGGCGAAATTCAAACTTGACGAAAATTCGTTGCAAAAGTAAACTTTATGAATTGCGATACGATTCATTGAGCAGCGAGCCGCAGGCGGCGGCCGGGTTAATATTTTCATGATGCTGTTTGTTTGGCCAAGTCAAATTAGCTGAGCAAAGCTCAAGACAAACAGCCGGAACATGAAGACAAACAAGCCACGCCTACCAGCCTATCAGCTAACCGATCCATTGCTCTATCCCATCCATTGTCGTAGCTCTTCTGTTTGACTTTGTCAACTTGGACTCGCTGCCTGTGTGCAGGGCAGAGCAGCTGTCACTAGCACGCATCTCAGTGCGCTTTGCCGCCCAGCTTGAGCTAAAATATTTTCAAATTGCAAAACCATCAATGGAAATGAATTTGCCATCAATGGGCCGAAATACGCTACGTTTAGCGTGGGCAATTTGCCAAAGAGCCATTCATAGGAGACTCACTTCAGGCAACATTGAAAGACGCCGCACGATATTTATACACGAGTTTTTCTCTCTCTTAAAGGACGCAAAAGTATTTTGTTTTATTCCATTCATTTCATTCTTGTTCGTTTCCGTTTCCTGTCCTGCGGCGCAACGAATGCGATTTAATTTCTTTTGTCATCGGAATCAATTCAAAAAGTCATCCGATAGTGCCGACTGCCGAGTGCCGAGCTGTTGGCCAAGTTGTTGGCCACTCAGCAGTGAAGTGCCGGCCGTACAAGCACCGGCATAGCCATCGACATCGGCCAGGTGTGCAACACCTTGTTTAGCTACCTGCTAGCAGCACTTGCCAGGCGGGGGGCCGAGGTGCCCTTCAGCAGTGCCAGCAGATAATTTAATAGCACTCTCAATGATCAATGCAAAGACTTTAATTGCTGGAGTGTATAGTCTATAGGGAGATGGTGGCCAAAAGAAAGTGCAAACGAAATCCCTACAAGAAAAGGATTTTCTTAGCAACAAAATCAATGTTGTTTGAAAATTTAGGTAAAGGTTGATGGGATTCTAGGCATAAAAAACGGCAAAGCATTTTCTATTTTATGTTTCTAGATATTTTTCATATATAATAGATATTTATATATGTTTTATATATGTAAATAAATAAATAAAAATACAAGAAATAAATAATATAATAATTATGAATAGGTAATTATGTGAAAACAAAATAAAAATTATTCCATATGATTGAAAATAGTATTTAAATATACAAAATTATAAATTATTACAAATTTTGTTAATACTATATAAATTAAAAATTATTTAATTAAGAATCAATCAAATGCAGAAATAATGGCCAACATATAGAAAAGGGCTTTCAATTAAAATGCATTCAATTTCAATTTGTAAGCATATTATTAAATATATAAATATAATAAGTACTTATGTCTGTCTGTCTCATTATGCGAAATGGTACATTAGCAGCGTCTGGCTGCATTAATTTGGGTTAAGATCCCGAAAGTGAAAAGCAATTGTTTGCCAATTAATTTGATGGTCAACAATTCCCAATAAATAGACCGCACACACACAAAGACAATGAGACAAAGAGAGAGAGAGAGAGAGAGAGTAATAGCGAGAAGGAGAGACAGAGACATTTGGGAAATTGCTTTGGCACAAAGCTTCATTTAATGCCCATACTCAGTGGGGGTATTCAATCAATTAATTTGTCATTTGATGCTGCTTATCAATCATTAATTTCCGCTCAACGCGAATAAATTGGGAATCTGAATTGGAATTATTGAAGCCCACCTGAAAATAACAAACTCAGCAAAGCTCATTTGTTAATGTAGTTTTTACACTTTGTTGGGCGGCAGCGGATATCGTTGATTGTGTTGATAAAGCCTCATACAATAGATATGTGAAGAGATACATAAGTAATTTATGGCAATGGTTCTCAGTGGATATTCACTTTTAATTGCGCTGACTTGCCGAAATAACTATATGAGACAGAGGAAAATAATAACGCCTCTATTAATATTTTAATTATGTTATACGATATGTATGTATAGATGATAGACAGAAAAAAATGTATATAAAATTGGAATAGGCATATCTATATATAAATTCATATCTATATATAAAAATGTTTATGCATGAGCTAACACGAAATAATAATATTAACTGTCTTAAAATTTTATATATAACTTGATTTATAAATATTTCTTATAGAATTCTTCTGCTAGGGGCCTTTAAAAGAAACCCTCAATCCCAGATTCCTACATATGTGGGCCTATTCCACGTTCAGCATCGGCTAAAGTTACATTAGCCAGTGCTATTATAATTATTCAAAGTTAATTAAAGTGTCACATAATTATTTGCCTTCTCCCTCTTTGTCTTGCTCCCTCTCACTTTTTTTCTAGCACTTGCATTGCCAGCGACAAATTGTTGCATATTCATATGGTTTAAGTTTAATTGAATTTGCATGCGATTTAATGCCAGCGTGACAGCTTATTAAATACAATTTCAATTTAAATTGGAATTTTAATTTAAGCTGATTATAAACACAATTATTTTTTTTATTGCGCTGCCAATTGGTTAAAGCTAATGGCTAATTGTTTCAGCATTTCGCATGTGTCACAGCTATTTCAGTTACCAAACAGTTGGGCAAGCCATCAATTTATTGAAGTAACTACATATGATTCGGTTTACATTTCTATAGAGACTATTTTAATATGAATACAAGAAATTTCAACTATTTCAATTAAACTTTGCCAGCTAAGTATGAATATATTCGCTTTATACACTGTACGTTGATTGCACGCAGTAGAACGTTCTATAAATATTGTCAATTAATTGAGTTTGCTATTTGTTCTATTGAACTCTAGACAAAAGTTAATCAGTTAATTGCTTGAATTTAAGCCTTCTCGATAACCCGAGAAATTTAGCTTCGTTCGATGCATTTATCCACTTGGAAACTTAGAAGAATAGACAGCTTAGCTTAAAATTTGTTCAAGTATATAAAAATGTCGCTAGCATATGTTTATATATACAGAAAAAGTTTTCAACAATTTTAAATGTTTTAGCTATGATCAAAATTTGTTTTTAATAATTATTATTGGCAATGTAAATTGTTAAAATTAAAAAAAAAAAAAATGTTTAGAGGTGAATAAAGAACCACAGTTCTGGAAAAACTTATTTTAACGATTCACCAAAAAAACCCTTCTTCTAGCTTCGCTTGCTGTATAATAATCGCACTTGGCTTGTTTACTTCACTTGGTTCGTCTCTCGAGTGATGGGAAAGAGAGATATAAAGATAGACGAACCTGGAGCACCCACTGTCAATCAGTTTGTTTTTGTTGGTCTCTCCCACGCCTGTCCATCTGTCCATCTATCTATGTCTTTATATATATACGGCATTTCTTGTGGTTTCACGTTTTCTCAATTTTCAGTCATTAATTTTACAATTTCCATGCAGCTTTTGTAATTGATGTTTTCGTTTTTATTACCATTTGTTGTCGTTGCTGTCGTTGTTGTTGTTGTTGTTGCAGCCATTTTGCCATTTTTGCGGTTTCCCTGGCTCGCTCACCACACACGCCCCTATTTGTTTTCAATTAGTCGAATCGAAAGTGAAAACATGAAAGTGTGAGTACAAATTGATTTGCCAAGCAAAAGCCACACTGATTAGAGCACTCAGCATTCAGCATGATTAGCTCTAATGATTCGCCTCAGAGTGAGGCTTTATGCAACCGACTCTGACGCAGAGTCTGACTCCGACTCTGACGCCGACTGCGACTCTTCAGTTCAATTACAGCGGCGACAACTGCCCGCATCAGTTGACAAAAAATTGTGTTGAAAACTCCCAGCACAGCAGGCAGGCCATCAAATTTAGAACATATTGAGCAAATGAGGCATTTAATTGAGTCTACACTATACGAAAATGTTTTCAAATTTGAAATAGAATTTTGTTGAATATATGAGAGGAAATAATAGCGAAGTTAATTAAAAGACGTGTTTTAATTATTATGAGTATTATCATTTTATTAAAGTACTAAGTATGATATATTAAATTATTATTTATAAATATTAAAACTATTTTATAATCATATTTATTTAAGATAGATTATATTTACTTTATAAAGTCATATTTGAAATAAATGCACTTGCGAAATACTTTTTAAATAATTAATGTTATTATCATTATATTTAATTAATAATTATGCACAGTCATTTCAGTTTAATTATATAAAATTATAATAATAATAATCTTTTTATTATATAATATTAATTGAAATAAATGAACAAAGAAATATATCTTAAATTACGAATATTATATATATTTACTATTTCAATTAAAATATATTATATCGAAATAAATTAAAATATTTCTCTTATTCTTTATAGTTTATATTTATATCATTTATACTATTATTTTATTATTTATGCACAAAAACTGATTGCGAAAAATCTAAAATTATATATGCGTGTGATAGGCCCTAAGTTTGGCAGTTGTGCTACTGGGAACCACTTCATAAAACTGGCCAAATGCTGGAGGCCTAACGCCCGCTAAAAATGATTTAACTATTTTTCGGCCATAAACAAGCGGCTTTCGACTGCAGCATTAATGTAGACCACATGCTGTTGTTTTATATCATTATATACATATATATATATATATTTTATATAGACATTAACACTGATTGGCTGTAATTAATGTTCGGCATTGTTTTTTTTACATTTTTTTTTTATTATATTTTTATTATTGTTATAATTGTCTCATTTATTTTTTGTAATATTGTATAATTGAACGGAATTATTGCGTTTGCTTTAATTATGGCGCGTTTGATGTTTTTATTTGATTTTGGCGTTGGCAATAAAATTGCCAACCACAAATAATAATATCCAACGACTCTAAATTTATTTCGATTTAGTTGTTGTCGGTTTATCAACTCATAAATAAAAAACATATTTATGCATTTACGGTTTGCATTGCGCAATTAGTTGGTGCCTAATTAAATTGAACTGTAATTTGTGGTTTGGCAAATTAGGATGTTGTGGAGCGTAAGAGATTATGTAAATAAATTTTTAGAAACATACACATATATTTATATATGACCATTTATAAATATTTGATATGCTAGTGTTTTATAGAGTTCGAAGATAATTTATATGTTTACTCTCTTCTATACCCTCCGTTGGGAATA